AAAAAAGAAGCAATATGAAAGCCCAGGGGGGGAAATGAAAATGTGTAAAAATGCCCCCCAAGCAAGGGGGCCCCCCGCCCCAATGGCTTATCCTTATTTCAGAGGCAGAAACCCCCAGGAAAAATGCCCAGCCCCCCCCCCCCCCCCCCACCCCCTCCTGGATGGGATGCTAGTCCATCATACACGTACAGCTGTAGGGGTAGAAATACAATCCCCCTTACTCTACAAAAGAGACCTTTACATTCGACAATAAAGATGACTACAAGGAGAAGATTCAACAAAATGATTTTTTCTCAAGGCTAATTTTATTAAAGGAGGTTTAACCTTTATTAGTTCCCGCCAATGTGACATTCTTGCTAGAAATTAATTGTAGAAGAGTGACAATGGCTATCACATTTTCCTGCCAAAGTGACGCTGATTCATGGGTATGTACTACTTAGTAATGAAAAAATCTTGTCTTGTAGTTGCTCTCGTCTTAAAATCCAAAAGCCTCTAAACAGAGAACATAGAACAGAAATGCTGGACAAGGATGATTGTCAGGGAAGAATTCATATCATCTGAGCTAATGCTTAACCAAATTAATCATCTTACTTACTCTATACCGGTAAATTTAATGGAGTGTGGAATAATAGCCTCACCTACAACACCCTTTTTCTTGCAGTGTTCCACAAGCTCAGCCTGATTCAGATATGGATGACACTCAACCTGATTAACCGCAGGCTTTATTCTTCCTTTTTCTATAATGTCATCAACTTGCTTACTGTTAAAGTTTGATAAACCTAAACAAAATAATCAAGTATAGTCCATTGTAGGTACATGTATGATGCATTACTAAAGATGAGAGCTGGTCATAATTAAACCAACACATAGGACACTTTTTTTATTACTATTAGTAACACATGCGGGGGGATTGTAAAAATTACCTGAGCCAAGGGTGTGAAAAGCATCAATTTTTCACATGTAATATTTCTTATTATTTTTGTTTTATGCAGCACAACCTTGACATTGTGAAGCCAATAATATTATTACTGTGGGCCTGAAAAATTTCCCTCCTAACACCACCTATGAAATGCACCACACAACCGGGCTCTACTTCCCTTACTTATAATGTTGCAACTTGTGGCAAAACTGACTCTTGACATGCATTTTTTGGTGAATTTTACGCATGGTGTCAATTCATGAGAAAGATGATTTTTCAGTCAATGACTCAGGCGGCTCAAAACAAAAAAAGAAAACGAGTACTCCAAATACATGTAGGAGTCAAACCTATCACCTTTGGCAGGGTGCTCATTAAGTTTTAAACTAGACACCTACATGTAGGATGTAAAAGTAGGCTGCTTGGTAACTGAGCGCTGTAGGCAATTTCAGGCTTTCCCTCTCTCACTTTACCCTATTTTTCCTAAAAGAAAATGGCTCAAACCTCCAAGTTGCTGGTTTTTTAGCTGGCTGGCTTCCAGCACTTAACTCTTTAAGCCCCAATATGCAAATACCAGTTCTCAAGACTGATCTCCATACATTTCCTTAATGAATTATTTGGGAGAATTTGTTTAAAGATCAAAGCATTTTCCAAGAGGTGACAACTCTAGTATATAATCTCACAACATTTTCTGTTGATTATGTATTGACATCATTAGGAGAAAATTGATTTTCATCAAATGAGAACCCTGCATTGGGTTACAAGTCCAGATGCTCTACCACTAAGCTACAGAAGACTCAAGGTAACTAAGACCCTAAAACTAAATGTAGATTCATGTGACAAACATCCTGCATACTGATAGCAAAGGAATGTTTGCTTCTGAATCACGAGCATGGTAAACCAAACAAGGCAAATCGTTGCACTTTAAAAAGGGGACACAAGGACTTCACCTGTTAGAGAGCATGCAAAACCTTGCCTAGTCCCTGGGCCTCATTATTGTGCGCTACCAATGCGTTTCCGGTTATGTGGTCCGAGCAAGTCTCCCACCCTTTCATCTCAGATACATCACCGAAATGCATTGACTGAGAAGGCCTAGGAAGACGCCATACAGGGACTAGCCAAGCAGAAACCCATGATAGGGAAGTTTTCTTACCAATGGCTTTGACAAGACCATCATCAACAAGTTCTTCCATAGCTTTCCAAGTGTCACACGGATCATGATAGGCATAAATCATATTTCCCTGTTCATCTTTAGGGAAACGCTCGTCACCATCTTTAAATGACAAGGGCCAATGGATAAGGTAAAGGTCTAGGTAATCAAGCCCTAAATCCTTCAGAGTATTCATCAGTGCAGGGCGTACATCTTTTGGATTGTGTTTTGTGTTCCATAGCTTAGACGTGACGAACAGTTCTTCTCTGGCAACCTGCAAAATGTAGCAATTTTAATGGAATTTTTATTCAAGCATTTTGATGGTACACTATTAAGGGAGGATCTATAGAGGGAGGAAGGTCTAAGATTACCTGTTCACCTTTCCTCTCCTCTCACAAACATAGTCTTTCTTCCTACCCTACATACTGATAACTTGCATTTTCTTGCTCTTCACACAATCCTCCCCGACAAACGTCTGCTGAAACAAGCGGTCAAAAATGTAGACCACTCACAGCACACTTCCAGATCTGGGACGTCCTTGAGAAATTTCCCAAGAGAGACAAGATCAGAAAGGTCTCATGAAAGGTGAAGACCTCACGCTCACCCCCAACACCTTTATGAGCAAATGACAGCCTTTACAGAGAGAAATGGAGCCATCGCTTATTTCCTATATTCTTGTTCGGAACAAAACTCTTTGGTCATGTATCACACCCTACTGAGCTTGTATGTTGTGTTTGGCTTGTCAACACTTTGACTTTAACAGTGTTCATCGGTTCTCCGATAATCTGCACGTGAACTCAAGCTGCAAGCTGTTATTTACGAACAAAGGGAAAGGAATTTAACTGCTTGTATCAGCAGATGTTCCTCGGGCAGGAACTTGTGACGAACCCTAAAAACATCTGTGTGGGAGGCCAGCATTTTCGTGAACCACCAAAGTATTTTGGTCCAGTCCTGGATCCCAAAAATACCCCCTACCAGATACGAGAGAAGAATATGAAGATGCATGTGCTGCATAATTGACAATATGGAGAAAATGAATTTTTGCTGTTGTTGTTCTTGTTTTTTTTCCTTCCCAGCACATATGGAAATATTCAGTTTTTTTCTTTCTTTCGGTTTTTTTTTTGGCAAGACTGTTTTTTTTGCAAGGGGTTGGGGCGCGGTAACAAAATGTCAAGCGTATTTCGTCCCTAATAATTTTATAGCTAGCAGATAAAATTTAGCTAAACGTAGCAATTTCAAGTTTCGTACCGTAGCTCCGAGGCATGACTTAAGAACGTCCCCTATCTCTTTCTCGTTGCCATAAATCGCTGCACAATCGATATGTCGGTACCCGGCCTTGATAGCGACTTCCACAGCATTTCCAACCTGCCCTGGGCGACTTTTCCATGTTCCTAGGCCCAAACATGGGATAGACTTGCCATTATTCAGCTGGATCGTGTCCATTCTCACTGAAAGCGTAAATAACAGAACTGCTTTTCTTGAGATTTCACCTGAACTCGAATGTACCTGGAGGAACACGTGAATGACCTCATATGAAACGAGATTCCTCGAGGCGAGGTTACACACTTCTTGGACGCGAAGGAATGGTACGAATAAAATTAAAAAATGGCCGACAAGCAAGCAAAACGCGTTGAGTTTTCTGAAATCAAAAATAAGCTTAGAAGAAGCTCTCTCTATCAAAAAGATAAACTCCGAAAGGCAAAAGAAAAGAAAGAAAGAAAAAGGAAGCGAAAAAGAGAGGAATCACAAGACCCAAATGTGGTAAGTTGCGGTTACCGTTGTAAACACACGTGTGAGATCAAAGTACTGATTTCAGGAAAGGTATAAGGTTGCGTACACATCGTTAATGTTGCTTACTTAAAGCACTTGCTGCACAATTTAAGCCTCTCTTTAACTGGTAATCTTGTGGTTTCTTGTCAGGCCCCTCCTAAGCAAGTCCCTAGAACTATTGATAACACACGTGTGGCTGATGACACCATTGTGGAACCAGAAGACCATGAGGTAAGGTGAACTCTTTCATTTTAAGTGTTATCATGCCTTAACGTAATAATATCCTAACACTGTGACTACTTCCGAAGTAACTGCAGTATACCTGGCCACTCAAAAGCTGGATCCAAAAGTGTTTCTACGTGGCTACAGCTTTACACCAGTTTTTAGGGGCTTTAGGTACTGAAGTGTGCCTAAAGAACAAGGCATTTACTTTGTGGCTATGAGGCTATGCAGCTACCGGCTTTAGTAAAATCCAACTAGTGGTCTATTATCAATGCTGCATTCTGATTGGTTGAGCAACTATCAGGCTATATGTTATAGCCCACTATATAGCTAGTAGCAAAAAGTGTGGGCTTTTTGGTGGCAAAAAAGGATTAAAGTCTAGCTTTAACTAGCTAAAAATTTTTTGTTCTTGATATTTTTTGACCAACTAACTGGATTTTACTAAAACAATAATATTCCTCTCACCCTCATGGCCTCTGAGTCGCTAGCCCATGAGGCCGAAGGCCGAATGGGCTATTGAATCAGAGCCCATTCGGGCTTGAGGAATAATTATTGTTAAATAGGGTTACAGCTGTCTTTCTGGCTACAACTGTATAAGGGATATGTGGCTGCGAGGGTGCACAGCTAAGTGGCCATGCAGCTACATAGCCACCTAGCCACTGTTTTAGAGGTATAGCTATTGATTGGCCAGGTATTCTGCAGTTATTTTCAACATAAACATCATCATCATCATCATCATCATCAAGAGCCACAGCAGCATTTTACTTACCATCATCTGGTCATCATCATCATCACCTTGCAGTCAGTGGCTAAATTGCAGAGAAATCAGAGGGGTGAGATCTTGTGTCAGCTTTTAAAGGTGCACTTTGCAGTTTCCTCAGTCCATGTTTGATCTTGTCACAAATCTGATACACCATGACACCAGGGTCTACGTCCCCTACTTGTTTTGAAAAATGTGATGGGTTTTTTATGTCCCCTTGCAATACAATTCAGTGGCTTAATAACGCTGGGGTCAATGACACAATCAGCTCAACTGAGAATGGTTTTCAATCACAGCTAGCATAATCTCACCAAGTTTTTAAAAAAAACCTTGGTTTGTGCTCCAAGTGGGCCTCGAACTGTCTACTTTCTCTACTTTGTGTCTCTGTCTCTAATGTCTAATTTATGTACATGTATAAATTTCAAATTTCACGGAGTAGTCTATCAGATTGGTCATAATCCATTGACCTGTACTAACAACAAATACTTATTCACTCTAAAGTGTTTTTGTTTTGATTAAAGACATATCATTCAATTTTTTTTTGGCCAAAGGAATGTCTAATATTATCATTTAATCAACAAACTACATGCCGATAAATTGTTTTTGTCAGCATGGTTTCCTTATATTGTTGTTCTTTCAGGTGAGAAATGATGAAGAATCAGATCAGTTGGCAACCTATTTTAGATGTGAGATGGTTCCTAAAGTTCTTATCACCTCAAGTGATAGATCTAAATTGGTAAGGTAGATAAAATATTATTAAGCGCATTTTATAAGTCAGTAGTTCATTGCAATAATTTTACATCTTACTTATTAATAAGCTTTTTAGCTTATCTTATGTGGTACAGTGGATAAACAAGCAACGTTTGGGAGTAAATAATGTTTCTCCATATCCCAGATGGGGCAATTTTTTCCCATTGCGTAATGTTCTTCTTATTTTTCCTTTTTTTGACTAAACAAGCTTTGTCACGTATTGTCATCTTTTTTTCTTATGATTTCTATGTTTGGTTGAGCAGTATTCTGTAAGGAGGATTTAAAATGTTGGACACTTTTACATAGTTTCTAAGGTTTAAAAGGTTTATATTAAATACATTTATTATATAGACACGAGTGTTTTACTGAAAAATATACCACTAGTAAAATTCGTAAAAACTACATCAGGGACCTGAGTGGTTTATTTTCCATAATCTCATATGTTTATCAATAACGTAATTTCGGTAATTTCCCTCTATTATTTTATCAATGTCTTTTTGTTTATATAACAAAAAGAACATCACACTGCGGCTTGAAGATGTGAATTTTATTTTCTCGTGGCAAAAACAATAAAATTTATATTGTTTTGTCACTCGAAAATAAAATTCATATCTTCGCACCACAGTGTAATATCCTCTTTGTAATCCTTATTGTTACATTTATTAACTAAAGTTCTTGATTATTAATCTCGCTGTTTAGAAAACAGTTCGGTTTATGGAGGAACTTCAGAGACTTATTCCAAACTCTGAAATCCGTGTGCGCAAAGGATTGGATTTGAAGAAAATCATTCCCCAGGCAAAGGAAAAAGGATTTACCGCTCTTATAGTTGTCAATGAAGATCGGAAAGTACCAAGTATCCTTTCAATTTTTTTTTGAGGGATTTCAATAATAAGCAAATAACCAACCATCTACCACTCTTATCCTGTCTGTTAAACTCATTGCAAATAGTTTAGCTTGGGAGCTGGTGCCTTTAAGGTTAGTGGGGTACCAGATACCATAAGCCACAGGGAGATTTCCCTGGCAACCCCGGAATGTGGGAACCACCCAAACGAGCACCCTCTAACTGGCACCATCACACTGAAATAATTCAGTGGAAACAACTTACCTGAAAGAATACTTTCCCTATTAACCAAACACAATAGCAGGAGGGAGGAGAGGGTGTAAGAATCCCCAATGATTCACAAGCGATAGCAGTACTTTTCATCTGCAAAGATCAGCTGATAACACTGCACATGTAAAGCAATGACCCTTGAAACCCTGTACAACCCCTGGAGGCCACCCCAAAAGTCATGTACTGTCAGTGGGGAAGACTGCTAGCTGCATTAGCTCGAGTTTACCTGTAACTTTGCCTAATGATATTAAGCCTAATTTAATATCTCTGGAGAATTTATCATTATACGGTTTTCAAAAGAAAGAAAGAACAACATTGTCTGGAAGTCCAAGACATCCTCTTAGAATAACAGCAATATGAGAAATACTAGTTTGATGCCAAGAATGCTGGTAATTGCATTTCTGAACTTCTTGATTCCATTTTTTGGGGTAGTGGCCATACCCCGATGCCCCCAAGGTGAAAAGATTTCTCTAATGATGACTTAACTAAAACTAAAATATGGCCAAAACCCTGCCATGACACACAAAAACACAGCCCTTAACTAATTGTCTTTAGATGGAGTTGTTATCAGTCACTTGCCAGATGGTCCCACAGCACACTTCAAATTAAGCAGCATCAAACTTGGCAAAGAAATTAGGGTATGTTGTGTAAAATTCAGTAGACTTAATATTAATTGTTGTGCTTTTTTTGTCTGTCATAAATTGTTTGCAGGTCTGAAGTAATATATCAAGCATGAGACATTTCATCACCAGATGAAACACTGAGAAGAAAGTTGAAAATACGACGTGTAGCGGACTATTTTTGACAAACTTCTAGGTGACTCATCTGGTGGTGAAACACTGTGTCGAATGCTTGATATTACTTCTCAAACAAATGATTTTAGGGGGAGAAATTAAGGATGCAAAAAATGACCAGTTTTTCATCTGATCTTCAAACACTCATTAAACGTTAATTTATTTGTATTTTCTTTATAATTAATTATCAATGAGTTTGAAAACTGTATTAGAAGAATTGCAATTCACATTGTGTACTCCTTGTATTGTATTCTTGTGAACTTGATGAGGGTCTCCCCAGCCTGATCCATGCTCTCAGTCACTCTGGATGAGTAAAATTAAAAGCAAACATTTTTTTTTTCTGCAAAAGCAAACATGCGAAAGACTGAGGAGAGGGTAAGGTGAGCTCTCCTGCCCTCTATCCATCAGTCTTAGTCTACTGAGGTCAGATGACTCAGTCATTTGTTTTGTTTTTCTTTTTTGTTAAACGGAATTCATTTGCCATGGATTGAAAACTACATGCAAGTGAAGAAGGTTTTCCATTGCCCGTGGAGTGCATATTACTGCACTTAACTTGTATGTGTAAATGTATTTTGGATATGCCCTATTGAGTGGAAGCATTGCTTTTAGCTGTTAAAATAGCTTCACAAAGCTTCAGTTTTAAGAAAGTTTTCCAACTTTCTGACTGTTATCTCTGTGCCTAACAAAGTTCCTATCCTATCCTAATCTGGCCTAAATTTTTAAACGCAGATTACAAGTCAGAAAAAAAATCTATTGACCTTACTTTCTTCTTAGAACCATGGTCGCATGACAAGCCACAGACCAGAAGTGATCCTCAATAATTTCAGCACGCGGCTTGGTCATTCTGTTGCACGTTTGTTGGCAGCGCTCTTTCCTCACGATCCGCAATTTCAAGGCAGACAATGTGTTACCTTCCACAACCAACGGGATTTTATTTTCTTTAGACGTCACAGGTGGGTCAGATAACTACAATCGTGGCCTCCCAGATCCCAAATAGAGACCTTGAGGTTCTTAGGCCAGAACAAAACTACTAGAATGCACGCGCTTGAGGGTAAAACATGAGAGCTGTAGTTATTCTACAACGGATTTTAGCGAAAATGTCGTAGTGACGGAAAGAATAGAAGTTTCATCGTCTTGCGGTCGTGAGAGGGCTTAGCCTCCTTCAATAAAAAAACTGTGTTTATAATCTTTTTTGGTGAAAATTGAAATTAAGCTTTCGGGAAGGTTCACTTTTTGTTAGAATACAAGAAAAACCCCTAAGTCAAACTTCGTCCACGTCGTCGAAACTAAAGGTCTCTAATGTTGGTATCCGGACAACTTGCTCCCCTGACCTTAGTCTAGCCTGCGAGCAAGCTCTCCTATTTGGGCGAGTGAAACGAGTCTCGCAAGAATGGCGAGCGAGCGGCGAATCCGGGAGGGGCCCCTCGCTCGCGCGTTCTCGCGAGACAACGTCGACGCTAAGAGTTTCTTTAATGGCAGATTTCTTTTCATTTTTTTACATGTACGCCTCAGGTATATTTTCAAGAACCAGAAGAAGGCAGGACTTCAGGAACTCGGGCCGAGGTTCACGCTTAAACTCCGTTCATTGCAACGAGGAACTTTCGATTCCAAGTTCGGCGAGTATGAATGGATTCACAAGGTTTGTCAAAAAATGATGATTCGTAGCATATAGTGCAGGTGTCTTCTTCCAGGCCAGCTTGTGCTAATTTCAATATATTTTTTTGCATTTGCTTGAGTACTCATGATCTTAAAATTATTTTTTTGCAGAGAAAGGAGATGGACACAAGCAGAAAAAAGTTTTTTCTTTGAAGGCGGTAGTCGGCAGAAGTAAAACTCGTGATGTGTCGAGCTGCAGCTTCCAGCCAATTAATGTAACAGCGTTCTGTACAATGGCGACAGAGAACTATTCTTCAAAGACACATGTCGCTTTATAAGTACTGTCATCACTGGCTTGGAACGCGTATGTGTCGACTCTCGATCTTTATTGTAAGCCCACGAAAATGGAGAGAATATAAAATGGACAATTTCTTGCTGGAAATTTGTAAATAGTAATGTTCCATACGAAATTTGGTGATTAAGTATTTTATTTGCCAAATTCGTTGCCAGGTTTGCCCTCTTAAATTTAGTGAAAATAAAAGTGTTGCTGACGTCATAAGTTCCGTGCTGCGTCAATAACCTGCTGCGAAATCAAATTGTCAACGAGACCGACTAACGAAACCATTGGGTATGGAAGCAAGTTCTAATTTGTGGCCTATGAACAAAATCCAAACCTAGGGAACCTCAAATTGAAGGCACTGAACTACTCTTGTTTCTTTTGTCTATTTTTAACTTTGTTTTTAATCTTGGCTAACCTCAGTTGAGAGCCCCTTTGTAATGAATTAATTACACGCTCTTTCAAACCTTTTCAATGAGTTAACGAAATGTCAAGAGACAGTTTAATGAGCGCAGTTTGCCTCAAGGTTCGTATTTTAATAGCATTTCAATAAGAGTACAAACCGATATGATGCCTCGGTTATGCAGTTATGAACACTTTGTTGACATGGGGTCCGTGCCATAGTACGAGCGAATATGGTTATAGTATGTAAAGTAAGAGGGACTTTGATGCAAAATAATCATTTTTAACCTAGTTTCTACTCAAGATGTTAAGATCGACAGAGGAAAAACTGTTGGCCTCTAAGAGTTGGAGAAGAGCTCGAGCGCATAACTCGCGCGAGGAGGTCAATTTGCAGAAAGAAAAATGTCGCCTCGATAGACGGGTCGGTCGTGAAATGTGTCAACTCAGAGCCGCACAGAATCGCTTTGAACTCCAATACTACAGAAAGAATTCTGCCATCGACAGGAAAAATTCAATGATGGAAAGAACATCGTCTCTTGTTTTACCACCAGTCAGCGAGGGAAATGACAGAGACCTTTTAAAGCTGCCGAGAGAAAGAAGAATGTCTAAGTCGCTAGATTCGTTACCTCCGATAGCTATGGACTCCCTCTCTCTGCCCTGGTCTCTGAATGGAGCATTAAAGAGATCTAGCAGTGTGAATAGTGCGTCAAACAGCGATCAAGCTCTCTCTTCATACAGTGATGACGCACCGCGACAAGTTGGATTGCATCGGCGAGCCCAATCGTACGCTGAAATATCAAGTCGTACAAATTCTACTTCGTAACAAATTCTCTACCATACGACTGCCGCTTTTTTGCAGGTGAAATACTGACAAAATAGCCTCGCGGGAAGTTACTGCAGATGTACATTACGTAAAATTAAAATATTTAGACTTAGGGGCTCTAACTACCCATAGTCTCAATGTAAGGCATTCTGACGTAATTAGCACCACAGGAATGTTCTGCTCGCACAGTAGCTTTCAACTGAAGGGTCACTCTTTAGGATTTCGCCGACAAACTCGAAAGTAACAGGTGCACCCAACGCCAATTTTCCGAAAATATATGTTCGGAAGACGATTTGAGATCTAGAATTGTCGGAACATTTGTTGTAAAATTTCTTGCTTGCCTGCCTCTCGTAGGATTTTCGAACATTTAAAAAAATGGTATAATTGTCCTCTTTTTAACGGATTTTTACCCTAAAAAGGTCACCTAGAATTTTCGGGAGCCATTTTTCTGGCTGAAATTTTCGAAAAAGTAAGTTTTGATCGCTATGATCTTCGGATCACTAGACTTTCAGCTAGGAAATCCGAACAGATGAAAACATTTTTAGGGAATCAAAATATGCCTTTATCTACTGTTTAAATACTAAAATACGTTCAAGAATGCTATGTTTAAGTGGTTTTGAACTATATTCTCGTTGGGTGCCCCTGACGTAAGAACAACTTTCCAAAGTGTAAGCATCCGCACAACAGGAGAGTCTGCGCAGTAGCTAAGACTCAACAATTACTTACAATTAGAGCCACCCTGCACAACATAACAAACATCAGCTCCACAGGAAGGTCCTTCGCTGAACAGGGCCACCCAACGAAAATATAGCTGAAAACCACTTAAACATAGCGTTATTAAATGTATTTTAGTATTTAAACGGTAGATATAGGCATATTTTTATCCCCTAAAAATTTTTCATCTGTTCGGATTTCCTAGCTGAAAGTCTAGTGATCCGAAAATTATAGGGATTAAAACTTATCTTTTCGAAAATTTTAGCCAGAAAATAGGCTCCCGAAAATTCTAGGTGAACTTTTTAGGGTAAAAATTAGTTAAAAATGGGCAAGTATACCATTTTTTATTTGTTAGAAAATCCTAGGAGAGGCATGCAAGCAAGAAATTTTACAACAAATGTTCCGAAAATTCTAGATCTCAAATCGTCTTCCGAACAGATATTTTCCCGAAAATTGTCGTTGGGTGCCCCTGACTGAAGCTTTCATTTGATCGCCCGGCAGACTTGAAAGCAAAACCACCTTGTATAGCCAGGAGCCCATATGGGCTCCTGGTATAGCATAATAAACAGTTCCGCTGGAAAGTTCTGCTCATTTATAAGTGTTCGTGTCAGACACTTTGAAGACCGAAAAGTCGGTTCCACCCTCACCGTAAGCTAAAGCAGAAAATTAAATTATACTACAGGAAAAAAGAAAAATCTTTGTGAGTGTTCATGTCGTGTATAGACCCCGGGGGGGGGGGGGGTACTTTAGGAATTTTTGGGTGGGGATGTGCCGCGGGGACCCTGGAACCCTTAACCTTTACCAGAGCTAGTTCAGCTGAATTTTGCTACCCTATACTAGAGTAAACTCCCCAAATCCCCCTATCCTAGAGTAGCTGTTTCCCTAGTCTAGATAAAATCTTCAACCAACTGATCAGTTTCCTGATAAATGATACCCTGTTCTAGACTCAAACGCTCTGATTTATATACCCTATCCGAGAGTAAACTGCTTGAAAACCATACCCTGCACAGTGGCACATACCTATATAGCCCATATATGTCAGTACCCCCCCCCCCCGGGTATAGACTGAGATCGTTGTTTTACACGTTATTAAATGAATTACCGTTTTGGGACTTCCGGTTACTCTTGGAAAAGCCGCCGGCTGCCTTGATTGAAATTGCACACGATAATTATATATGCAATCAACAACACATTATACTGGCGGAATTGCCGTCAATGAGTTATATTCATCAGGGGCACCCAACGGCAATTTTCGGAAAACATCTGTTTCGGAACATTTGTTGTAAAATTTCTTGCTTGCCTGCCTCTCGTAGGATTTTCGAACATTTAAAAAAAATGGTATAATTGTCCTCTTTTTAACGGATTTTTACCCTAAAAAGGTCACCTAGAATTTTCGGGAGCCATTTTTCTGGCTGAAATTTTCGAAAAAGTAAGTTTTGATCGCTATGATCTTCGGATCACTAGACTTTCAGCTAGGATATCCGAACAGATGAAAAGATTTTAGGGGATAAAAATATGTAAAATATGTTCAACAATGCTATGTTAACTGGTTTTGAACTATATCCTCCTGATAGCTCTATGCCCCTGATTCATAAAGGGAAAAGCGTCGATTGAAGACGTTACGTGTACTTTTAATAACGACAGATGCCCTTTTTTCGGAGGAATAATATACAGTGGACAAGACATTCACGGAGACTTCATTGAGGCCAAGTATCGACAATCAACAACTGACGTCATTTGTTGTTGTTGACGGTGAACTACTTTTGAGACAAAAATTTACAACATTACATCGTTCTGTTTATAGTTGATTGCAATTTCTTCACGGTTGGTTTTTGGCCTTCTGAATGATTTAGTTTTTGCTTCATTGAACTCATGGAATGTGAAACAGACTGAGATGGCTTGGATGACAGCTTTAAGTAAGTTGTTATCACAGTGATTCTTACGCTCTTTGCATCGCCGATTAAGCGGTCTCTAGTTAAATCGGGGACCTAAGAGGGAATGAATTAAGAGAAATAAATAAACTATTATACCCATGTATAGCTATTGTTTAAAATTGTATATTAAGAATAAAAGCACTCTTTTGCATATTAAACCAAACGCATAAATTCAAGTGTTTTTCAGCGTCACTTATAACCAATTAAGACAGCCCTTTTTTCAAACAGTATGGGATATTTAGTGGGAAATTTGCAGGTGAGACATTGAAATGGCCCGGAGTACAATTTTATACTACGTTTTCAGCATTCAGAATGAAAATACCGTCCTTTTCACAATTTTAAAACCGCCGTAGGCCGGGCGTCTCATAATAACTTTTGGATAAGATACGACTTGATGAGTTCACACTCGAGCAAAAAATACTTTCGTTTGTCTATAACGAGTCATGCATCAATTTTTTTTTATTATTAAAAAACAAAAGAAAAGAAATGATTAACTTTATAGACAATAAAAAGGAGCCTACATAACCGCCATGCATACAAAGGGGTATAGCTAGAAAATTTTCTAACTAAAGAGAGACGGTACGGACAGCTTCCCAAATCAATCCTTCCCCGTCTCCCGTATTTCACGCGGGTGACTTTTATCACAGGGCAACCAGACTTACAACAGCCTACTAGAAGCCAAATTACAAGGGTTTGTATAGGAATTAATCGTAAGATCGATAAATAGGTTAAAATGTACATAAACTAGCCTCCCCGCAGACGTCCTTTGGGGTTCGTTTGTCACGCATTCATTTCTCCCCCACCGTGGGGGAGAAATGAATGCGTGACAAACGAACCCCAAAGGACGTCTGCGGGGAGGCTATACATAAACTAGATTTGTGTATCTGTGAAGACGAAAAACAGTACCAAAACAACACAGACCAAGAGGCATGGCTCTTGCACAGACACAACTCTTTATAAATGACGTATGCACACTTAAATGGCTGTTAATGTGCATTATAACTGTTTTATCGATCTTACGTTAAATTCCCATCCATGGACGAATCCGTAATATTTGACTTCTAGAAGGCTGTTGTGAGTCTGGGTACCCTGTGCTTTTATCAGTGTAGTTAGCCCATTAAGATTTCTTGGCGTAGTTCAAGGCTGAGCGCGAAGTTAGTTTTTCTTTCCTTTTTTTCAATTTGAGAAAAGCGGTTAAAAAACTGAGAATAGAGAGATAAACCTGCAAGGAAGAGGCCGGAGGATTTAGTGACGTTTGGTTTCCCTATACATGAACATGATACACAACGCTGACCAGAAGTATCACAGCATCAATAACGGCTGCTCTTTCGAAGCTCTTTCGATTTTTAAAATTTGCGCGTTTTCTCCGAACGAAAAACCGCCTGTTAGCTGCGGAAATTAAAAGGTAAGAATTGCAGTTACAACAATTCTTTTGGTACGTGAAAAGGGTAGGTCAAATTAGTATGCTGTTGAGTTTTAAAGTTCGATTTTTGTACGATGATCTTGAAGTTTCGGATTTTCGGGAACGTACTCTGCTCAAGTCTCTGCTCAAACTTTTCAAATCATTATGCCTAAACAGTAAACTCCGTGGAATTAACAACTTAGTGCAGTAAGTTTCATGAAGTTTTATTCTACTTTTCCTAAAAATTATAGCATCGGAACTTTCCCCAGACAAACACATGTAAATACAGCAAAAAAATACTGAAATTTGTGTTGGGACGAAGTGACGACCGCGTTTTTAAGTATACTGACTTATAAGGAGATATATGACTGATTTGATTCATTCTTGAAATATAGATAATATTTAAGCTATTTCTACGTATTATAACTTGTATTTGTCAGGTTTTGTGATCAAAATCGTATTTTACTTTGCCTTGTCTATTCTACGACAGTAGCCTTTAATAGTGCCTTGTCACTTTCTTCGTCTGTCATTTAGTTTTGTACCAGAGCCACCTGACCTCACGAATGTGTTTTCAAGTGAAAAGGCCTCACGTCCAGTTGACTTGCATCACTCAAAGAGGCCTTTGCATAAGCTCCCTAAGTTCAAAAAAATGCCTCTTTGAGGAAGGAGGTTAACTTTTGTTGGTGTGGCTTAGTTGAAGTAATGTTTTCATGGCTGTGCCCTACATGGCAGTGTCGGGCAAATAGAAAATCTTTGGTTAGTTTTTTCATACAAATCAAGTGCTGGGCATCCTAGATTTTACAGGTTCAAAGCACTGGGCTTTCTTTAATTTCCTAGAGCACAGCCTTGTACCTGTACTTTAGTCTGAAATGTCTGCTGTCTCTTCGTACAACCCACCCCACCCCAAACGGGAGCCAGGAGGGGTGATGGCTGACATTTCAGTTGAAACT